ATATAAATGTTTTAATGTTTAATGTTTGGCTTTTTGAATTTTTGGCCTTGGGGCTTAGGGTATTTGGTAAGGTTATGGTTAGGGTCAATGACTGTTTTAGGGTTAGGATTTAGGGTTGACAATTTGTGGTCTAATATATATGGTTTAGTTGTTAATATTAGGGTATGGTATTTTTGGGCTTTGGGTTTAGGGTTTAGGGTCAGGGTTAAGGATAGGATTAGGGTTAGGGTTCGTGTTAAGGAATAGTAAGGGTTAGGGTTTAGGGTTTTTTAAATTTTTAGTTTTTTGGGTTCTGGATTTCTTTTTTAAAATCTATGATTTTGTGTTTACTGTTTTGGTTTGTGTATTTTGAGCCTGGAGTTACGGGTTAATGGTTTAGGGTATGGGTAGGGTTAAGGTTAGGTTATGGTTTAGATTAGGGGTAGGGTTAGTTTTTTTAGGTTTTAGGGTTTCTTGTTAAGGATTTAAGGTTTAAAATCTATAGTTTAATGTTAAATGTTTGGGTTATGTATTTTAGATTTGGGGTTTTAGATTGGACTTAGAGTTTAGGGTTTAGTGTTAGGCCTAGGGTTAGGGTGTAGGTTTATTTTTGATTATATGGTTAAGGGTTTTGCATTTGAGGTTTAAAATCTATGGTTTAGTATTAAATGTTTGGGTTTTGGTATATTGGGCTTAGGGTTTCTTGTTTATAGTTTATTAGGGTTAGTTTTATGTTTAGTGTTAGGGTTTTATTTTTTCTACATTTTTAGATTTAGGTTTTAGGATTTGAGGTTTAATATGAATGGTTTAGTGCTTAATATTTGGGTTTTTGCATTTTGGGCTTGGGGTTTAGGTATTATTGTAAGGTAAGGGGTTTGGTTAATGTTAGGGTTAGGGTTAGGCTTTAGGTTGTTTTTTGAGATTTATGCTTCACGATTTAGCATTTGAGGTTTAAAATTTATGTTTTAGTATTCAATGTATGAGTTTTTGTACTTTGGGTTTAGTGTTTTAGGTTTACGGTTTAGGGTTATGGTTGGGGTAAATCTAAGGGATAGGGTTAGGGTTGGGGATTTGGGTATTTTTATATTTTTGGGTTTAGGAATTAGGGTTTGTGGTTTAACATAAATGTTTTTATTTTTAATATTTGGGTTTTGGTTTTTCGGGCTTGTGGCTTAGCGTATATTGTAAGGTTATGGTTAAGGTCAATGTTAGTGTTAGGTTTAGGATTTAGGTTGTTTTTTATGCTTTAGGGCTTGGGTTAAGGATTTAAGTTCCAATATCTATGGTTTAGTTGTTAATATTAGGGTCTTGTATTTTGAGCTTTGGGTTTAGGGTTTTCGGGTAGGGTTAAGGATAGGGTTAAGTTTAAGGTTCGTGTTACGGATACTGTTAGGGTTAGGGTTTAGGGTTATTTCAATTTTTAGATTTTTGGGTTTTGGATTTTTTCTTTAAAATCTATGATTTTGTGTTTAATGTTTTTGTTTTTTTATTTTGAGCTTGAGGTTTCGGGTTAATGGTTTAGGGTTAAGGTTTATGTTATTATTAGGTTTTAGGGTTTGTGGTTTAGGATTTGAGGTTTAGAATTTATGTTTAGTTTTAAATGTTTGGCTTTTCGTATTTTGGACTTAATTTTTTTTTTAACTAACAGTTTAGGGGTTAGAGTTAGGGTTAGGGTTAGGGTGTAGGTTTTTATAGGCTTTATGGTTCATGGTTTAACATTTTAGGTTTATAATCCAACATTAGTATTTAATGTTAGATATTGGTATTTTTGTCTTGGGGTTTATAGATTATAATAAGGTTTGGGTTAGGTTTAATGTTAGGGTTAGGGTTAGTTTAGGTTGTTTTTTAGGTTTTATAGTTAACGCTTTTGCATTTGTGGTTTCAAATTTATGGTTTAGTATTTAATGTATGAGTTTTTGTATTTCAGGTTTAGGGTTTTAGGTTTACAGTTTAGTGTTAGGGTTAGGGTTAAGGTTAGGATAGGATTAAGGTTGGGGTTTTGGGTATTTTTATGTTTTTGGGATTAGGGTTTAGAATTTGAGGTTTAATATCAATGTTTTATTGTTTAATATTTGGGTTATGGAATTTGGGGGTTGTGTTTTAGGGTATATGGTAAGGTTAAGGTCAACGTTAGTTTTAGTGTTAGGGTTTAGATTGTTTTTTTTGTTTTAGGGTTTTGGATAAGGATTTGAGTATTAATATCTATGGTTTAGTTAGGGTTGCTGTATTTTAGGCTTTGGGTTTAGGGTTTAGGGTTTGGATTAAGAATAGGGTTAGGATTAAGGTTCGTGTTAAGCAAAGAGTTATAGTTAGGGTTTAGGGTTATTTTAATTTTAAGGTTTTTGGGTTTTGGATTGTTTTTGTTTAAAATCTAAGATTTAGTATTTGATGTTTTGGTTTTGGTATTTTGGGCTTGGGTTTTCGGTTTAAGTATTTAGGGTTAAGGTTAGGTTTTTATTAGGTTTTAAGATTTTTGGTTTAGGATTTGTGGTTTTGAACTTATGGTGTAATGTTTAATGTTTGCATTTTGTATCTTGGACTTATTTTTTTTTTTTGACTTAGGGCTTAAGGTTTAGGGTTAGGCTTAGGATGTTTTTTTTATTTTATGGTTCATAGTTTAGCATTTGAGGTTTAAAATCTATTCTTTAGTACTTAATGTTTGAGTTTTGGTATTTTCGGCTTAGGGTTTTAGGTTTTTGGTTTAGGGTTTGTGATTTAGGATTTAAGGTTTAAAATCTATGGTTTAGTGTTTAATATTTGGGTTGTTGTATTTTTGACATCGATTTTTTTTGGACATGTTTTTAGGATTTAGTGTTTAGTGTTTAGGTTTTAGGGTTAGGGTTAGGGTTACGATTATGGTTAAGGTGTATTTTTTTAGGTTTTATGGTTCAGGGTTTTGCATTTTAGGTTTAAAATATATGGTTTAGTATTTAATATTTAGGTTTTGGTATTTTTGTCATAGGTTTTTGGGTTTGTGATTTAGGGTTAGCATTAGAGTTAAGGTTAGTGTTAAGGTTTTGTTTTTTTTAGGTGTTTGGATTTAGGGTTTAGGATTTGAGATTTAATATCAAAGGTTTAGTGTTTAATGTTCGTATTTTTATATTTTTGGCTTAGGGTTTAGGTATTATGGTAGGTTTAGGGTTAGGGTTAGGGTTTTGGTTTTTTTATTTTTTAGGTTTAGGGTTTAGGATTTAGGATTTAATATCTATCAGTGGTTTAATTTTTAATGTGTTTGGTATTTTGGGCTTGGTGTTTAGGGTTTATGTTAGGGTTAAGGTTAGGGTTAACGTTTGGGTTTTGGTTGTATTTTAGGTTTTATTGTTTGGGGTTAAAGATTTAGGTTTTTATATCTATTGTTTATTTTTTAATGTTTGGATTTTTGTATTTTGGCTTTTGGTTTAGGATTAAGGGTTTAGGGTTTAGGGTTAGGGTTAAGGATAGGGTTAGGGTAAGGGTTGGAGTTGGGTTGTCGGTATATTTATGTTTTTAGGTGAATGATTAAGGATTTGAGGTTTAATATCAATGTTTTAGTGTTTAATATTTGGGTTTTAGTATTTTGGACTTGTAGTTTAGGGTTTATCGTAGGGTTATCGTCAGGTTAATGTTAGGGTTAGGTTTTTTTTAGGTTTTTGGGTTTTTGGTTATATATTTGAGTTGTAAGATCTATGATTTAGTGTTTTATGTTAGAGTTTTGAGTACTTTCGTACTTTAGGTTTATGGTTTAGGGTTTAGGGTTTTGGTTATGGATAGGGTAAGGGTTACGCTCCTTTAAGGATAAAAATTAGGGTTAGGGTTTTGACATTTTAGGCTTTGGGTTTAGGGTTACGGTTAAGGATAAGGTTAGGGTTAGTGTTTGTTTTATCGATAGGTTAGGGTAAGTGTTTTACGGGTTTATTTGAGTTATAGGTTTTGGGGTTTTAAAATTTTGTTTTTAATTCTATGGTTTGTATTTCAATATTTGGTTTTTGGTACTTTGGGCTTTGGATTTTGGGTTAATGGTTTAGGGGTATGGGCTGGGTAAAGGTTAGGAGTAGGGTTTAGGTTAGGGTTTGCGTTCGAGTTAGGGTTTTTTTTGGGTTTTAGGGTTTGTTGTTTAGGATGAAATGTTTAAAATCTATGGCTTAGTGTTTAATGTTTGGGTTCTCTTTATTGATTTTGGGGTTATAGATTGGACTTTGGGTGTAGGATTTAGTGTTAGTGTTAGTTTTAGGGTTAGGGTGTAGGTTTATTTTAGGTTTTTTGGTTCAGGGTTTGGTGTTTGAGGTTTAAATCTATGGCTTAGTATTTAATATTTTGGTTTTTGTATATGGAGCTTAGGGTTTAGGGTTTATAGTATAGGTTTAGGGGTTAGGTTTAAGGACAAGGTTAGGGTTTGTTTTTTTATGTTATAGGGTTTAGGTTTTAGGATTTGAGGTTTAACATTAATTGTTTAGTGTTTAATGTTTGGGTTTTGCCATTTTGCGCTTGGTGTTTAGGGTATATAGTAAGGCTATGGTTAGGGCCAGTGTTAGAGTTAGGGTTAGGGTTTAGGTTAGTTTTTATGTTTTAGGGTTCAGGTTAAGGATTTGAGTTATAATATCTATTGTTTAGTTGTTAATGTTTTTTTTTTAGTTGAACGACCCTTGAGGTGGGTCAGGGGCTTAGCATCACCCCCAGGCCTTACCATTTATAGAAAACAAATTTACAAGAAGGGGGCAATCACCTAACCTTCTACAATTTGGTAGGTATAATTGACTTATCTACGAAGATGGTCAATTAAACCTATTACAATAAGTTGCACATCTAAAGAAAAATAATACCTAGAGAGGACTCCTCTCTTAATACATTTTCCAAGAAAGCATAAATGAGGGAGACTCTCCCTTTACATCGAAATTGAAATAGTAAATTTATTCTACTAGCTAGAAGTTGTTAATGAATAAATCTAATGTCAATTGTATTGTAGTACATTTGATAACTTGTGTACATTTGATAACTTGTCAAATATCTGAGGAGGTTGTTTTATTCTCTTGAGCTTCCTTCTTCTAAAATTTTGTGTGCCCATCTTCTCCAATAGATAGCTTCCTTCCCTCGAGTTGTCTTTTTGTGTAGAAGTGTTGAACTAGCTCTAAACTGTGACTCCATTTGGATAACAAGTCTGCAGTAATGTTGGCTTCCCTGTATATGTGATGACACTGAAATTGTTCAATTTTCCTAGTTATTTGCTTAATTTGTTGAATAAGATCTTCATATATCCAAGGTATATTTGTTTTGTTTTTGATCCAGTTGCACAGTAGCTGTGAATCAACTTCCAATTCCACTCTTTTGTAGCCATGTTGATCACACCACTCCAGCCCATATAGAGCAGCCTTTATCTCTGCAATGTTGTTAGTACCAAAGCCAAAAGGTAGAGAAAAAGCATAAACAATTTTACCTTGATGATCCCTTAAAATACCACCACCTCCAATCTTTCCTGAATTTTGTAAAGCACTACCATCTGTGTTGAGTTTATAAGTGCCTAAACCTGGTTTATTCCAACTTACTAAAACTATTTTATATTGCTGTTTACAGTGCTCGACTATGTTAATGAGCTTGTTCCAACTTGATTGCCATGGTATACTTGGAAACACAATTTTAATAACTTGCATTACATCCTTGAATATGCCATATTGCACTCTATGGATGCTGGAACTCTTATTTCCATACTTGACAGCACACCTATTTTTCCATAAATTCCAACAAATGACATTAGGTAAAATATGAATAAGTAGTTTATGTACCTCATTGTTAACTTGTTGATTTCTCCAATGCAATAGTTGATCTCTAAGAGTAGTGTTGGCTGGCACTACTCCAAGTATTGCAGCATGGATCTTCCATATATGTTTAGCAAAATTGCCATTAATCAATATATGATTAATGTCATCCTTGCCTTTACTATAACAACAATAACACTTTGATATAGCACTACCAAATCTCTGCAGTAGTTCATTAGTAGGTAATTTACCTTTTAGAGCTCTCCAAATAAAGAAGGCTATTTTAAAAGGTAAATGTTTATGCCATATAATAGTATTAATAGTGTCAATAGGTCTTTTATTTCTAATACACTCCCATGCAGAAGCTATAGTAAAATTGCCAGTTTCTGTTGGAATCCAAATTGCATTGTCCTCTTTGCCTGTAGAATAATTTAATTTCGTCTGCAAAATCTTGGGTATGAACAAAGGATTCACCTGGTGTCTAATTAAGCTTTCATTCCACTTACCATCCTTTATGAAATCTGTAACCACACCGTTATTTAAACTAGAAATATGATCACTTTGACTAGCAAGATTTTCATTATCCAACCAGTTATCCCACCAAAAACTACTAGTACCAGAGTGTATTTGCCATTTAATGAGAGATTCCACCTTAAGTCTATTTCTAGTTAGGTATCTCCATACTAGAGAATCTCCAGAGTCATATTTTTTAGCCAAAGGATTGGCTCTTTGACAGTATTTGGCCTTTAAAAACTGACTCCACAAAGAGTTTTTAGTTCTAAAATCCCACCACTGCATATATTGAAAAGCAGTACAAACATCTTCTAGCAATCTTACACCAATACCCCCTTCACTTGTTGGATATGCCATGTTTTCCCAAGATGACCAGTGATATTTCTTACCATCTTTATCAATTCCCCAAAAGAAATCTGCTATAAGCTTCTTAATACAATTTAAAGTAGTTTTAGGAGGTGAAATAGCAGCAAGTGTATGAATTGGAATAGATTGCAAAACATGTTTCACCAAAGTAATTTTACCTCCAAAATTTAAAATTTTTGAATGCCAGCCTGCAATTCTTTTGATCACTTTTTCAACCACCTCAGAGTAATATATAATCCTTTGCCCACCAATATATAGTGGACATCCAAGATAATTGATAGGACTGTTCTTCCTACTATATCCAGTAGCCCTCTTAATTTCCTCTATAATATCATGCCCAGTGTTAGAGGTTACCATAAAGAAACTTTTGTGTTTATTCACTTGCTGATCAGAAACTTCTTCATATAATTCAATAGTTTTCATAATAAGATGAAGAGAATTACTATCAGTAGAGGCAAATATAATTATATCATCAGCAAAACTAAGATGGTTAATTTTTGGACCATTTCTTTCCATATGAAATCCTTTATACTGATGATTTTGATAGAGAAGATTAAGATGTCTAGACAGTACTTCAACGCCCAAAATAAATAATGCTGGAGATAAAGGGTCACCCAGTTTAAGACCTCTCTTGGATTGAAAAAACCATGCCCCTTTCCATTTATTACAATAGAGTACCAATTATTACTCATAATCCTCCAAACTCTATCAATAAACACTTCACTAAATCCCAACTTTCTTAAAACCAAACAAGTATAAGTCCATGAAACTCTATCATAAGCTTTAACCATGTCTAATTTGATAACCACATTACTGCCTTCTTTTGGTTTTTTAATACCATTAATAATTTCCTGAGCCAACAAAATATTCTCAGCTATACTCCTTCCCTTGACAAAGCCTGATTGATTTTCAAAAATAATACCAGGTAATATTAAACCAAATCTTGTACTAATGATCTTTGAGATGATCTTATTGGCAAAATTACTAAGGCTAATAGGTCTGAAATCCTTAAGTCTGCAGGGATGATCAGTTTTTGGAAGTAAAATTAAAGAGGCATGAGTCAAATATCTGGGCATACTATTACCAATATAAAAATACTTAACAGCAGCCAAGAGATCTTCTTTGATAATATCAAAACAAACTTGGTAAAATTTTCCTCCAAAACCATCAGGTCCAGGTGCTGAATGAGGATTCATACTCATAATGACTCCTCTCAATTCATCCATATCAGGTAATCTGTCTAAACTATCATTTCGTTCTTGAGTAATAATAGGCTTGATACACTGCAGGATATCTTCCTTAATTTTCTCATTCTTAGCAGTAAAAATCCCCTCATAATAATCACAAGCCTGTTTAGCAATATTTTCTTCCCCAGTAATCCAATTCCCACTGTCATCCATCAATTTATGAATAGCCATTCTATTTCTTTTACCTCTAATCACAGCATGAAAATATTTAGTGTTAGCATCTCCCTCTTGTAACCAATGCAATTGAGTTTTTTGCTGAAGAATCTTATATTCCAACTTGTAGTACTTAATATACTTAGCATTAATAGCATTAAGCTTCTCACTATTTTCTATACTCTGATTACAGATCATATCATTTTCAGCCCTTTTCACCAACTCCTCATACAGTTTAACCTTTACAAATACATCACCATATTCCTGTTTTGACCACTCTCTCAAAGTCTTAGTTAGCCTCCTTAACTTTGTATGAAAATTCCACATAGGATTGCCTATCACATCTCTTTTCCAACAATTTTCCACAGTTTTCAGAAATGATTCATTCTCAGTCGAACAATTCAGAAATTTAAAATATTTAATAGAGTTAGATTGTATATCACCTATTTCCATTAACAAAGGACAATGATCAGACCCTACAGAAGGAAGATGAGTAATACTTGAATGAGGCATTGTTTCAATCCATTTATCATTAATCATACCCCTATCCAATATTTTCCAAATCCTTGTACCATCTCTCCTATGATTACACCAAGTGTAATCCTAACCATAATATCCCATGTCAACTAAACCACATGCCTCAATAATTCTAATAAACTCAATGCTCTTATTAATATTATAATCTTTACCATCCAGCTTCTCACTAGTGGAGGTGATAACATTAAAATCACCTAAAATACTCCAAGGATACATGGTTTCAGACCTCTTAAGCATAATATCCCAAAGAGGTTTCCTTAACTGATTCTTACATTTAGCATATACATAGGTCACAATAAACTTTTCACTGCAGTTCTCATGACTAATTTCACAAGTCACCTGTTGTTGATCACTTTCCAAAATAACAGCAGAAATCTCATTAGACCAAAAAAGCCATATTTTGTTATTAAGATTGCTAAAAATATGATCCATGATCAATTGCAGTCTAAAAGACTCTATATGAGCTTGATTAGAAAAAGGTTCTATTATAGCCAGCATAGCCAGCTTATGCATTTTTCTGAGGTTAATCAGTCTCTCAAGAGCACCAAAAGTATTAATGCTCCTCACATTCCAACATAACAACTTAATCATTAAATTCCTCTACTTCTAGCTCTAGTATTAGGCTTACTAGAACTAGTCAGTTTATTTTGTTTCACAAGCTTTCTTCTTCTAGTTGATATTCCTTGTTTGCCAGTTACATCTCTAATTTCATCCACATTAGAGGACTGCAGCAAAGGGCCCTTATGAATTTGGTCAGAGGTATTAAGATCCTCTCCTGGTTCAATACCCTCCCCTAAAGATTGAGTATCCAAATCATCCTCATCTTCAGTATCAGGTTCCCAATATTCATCAAAATTCTCATCTTTTTGAAGATCAATAGGGTCATTACCAGTAGTTTTCTTATTATATTTAGTGTTAATCTTTTGAAGAGCATTAACAATATTTTTATCAGGAGGTTCTTTCTCAGTATTACTAGAGTTCCTCTGTTCAAAAACATTATTTTTTCGTTTATCATAATTAACATGTTGAGATGTAATATCCACCTGACTTCTTCCAACCTCACCTCCATCAGCTACACCAACATTATCACTATAAGGGATTGCAGGGGAGGGGAGCATTGAGTCAATACCTGCTCTATTAATGTTGTCCTGTTGATGAGCAACCTGATGATCCATACTGACCTGAATTTCCACCCTTGATTGCTTATTCCTTTTTTCCTTGTGCCCATGGGTTCCTTTAACATGGTATGACTTTGATCTTGCTGATAATCCTTGTATTAATCCCTTCTATCTTCAACAGGTGTATAATCCTGTGTTTCAAGGTCAATATAGGTGTTTTTAATAGGAATGGAAATCATACCTGTTTGAGACTGTTGTTGATGAGAAACAGTCTTGTCATTGTTGAATATAACTTGTTGATTGTCGTTCCTTCTTCTTTGAGTTTGCCATTCATCTTGTATATCTTGTTGCAGTGTTTGAACACCTTGTTGGCTTGATTGATTATGATCCATTTCACTTTTACCAGTGTCTATATTTTGTGTAATCTGTAAATCTACATGAGCATGTTGAGGATTGTCTTCCTAGTCCTGTTTTTTTCTAAGTCTTTTCTTTTTTTATTTTCCTCATCCCTTTGTTTAACTATACAATCAGATTCCTTATGGCCTTGATGTTTGCAGTAGAAACAGTAATTAGGAATGCTATCATATTCTATTTTTTGCCACCTCCCATCATTAATGTCTTCTCCTATATATCCCATCCAAATATGTGAAAGGGTCTTTGCTTAGTTAAGTCCACCTGCACCTTAACTCTAGCTTGACTCCCTCTAGTATTGTTAATGCATGCTAAATCAAGATACAACACCCTACCTATAGATGAAAACAGGCTTGTAATGAACTTTTTATTGTAGCAATGCAAGGGCAATTCAGGCAATGAGATCCAAATGGGAACTAGAGGTGTTTCTTCCTAAGTTGTAAAATTGGGAGTCCATGCCTATATCCTCATTATTTGCCCTGATATTGTCATCCTCTGTTTAGTCCATACCATATTGTAGTCTAGTTCATTATCAAGATCTATGTAGACATGTCTAGAGTTAAAATGGGCTATTTTAACACCCACAGACAATTGAGTTTGTAGGATAAAATTTTTCCTAATTAACTCAATTCTAGGCATTGTATAGATGAACTTTCCTATTAAAGTGAACTTACAAGTTGAGCCTAGGTCTTTAACTACTTCCTCTTTGACATATAACACTGCAGGGAGGCCTTGTTTAGTAGTAATCTCAGGTTCTATCAACTTAATGGTCTCCACACGTTTAGATTGATTATATCTAAGTCTGTCAGCATATGTTTGTATGACTGTATAGGGAGCTGGTTCAGGTATGTTATTTTTCTTAGGAAAGTTATTAGTTCCAAGAGGAAGATCAGGATTTTCATTAGTAATTGGAGGCAAAGGTTTATCAAAATTGCTACACAATTTAGGAAAATTTTGATGATATTCAGGATTTCTAACAGAAACAGTATGAATTCTATCAGAAACATTTATCAAATCATCATTTTTAAAAGTAAGATTGGTTGAAACGATATTACCTTGACCATTATGTGCCCTAGAAGGAATTGCAGATGAAGGAATAGCAGATTGCCTATTTTGTGAAGGATGAGCAACATCCTTAGTAGGAAGAAATCGTGTAGACCTTGAATTTTGATGTTCATTCTCCTGTTCCTTGTTGTAATTGGGATGTCTTTGTTGATCAATCCCCTTTTCCTTATTAAAATTGGGATTCCTTTGCTGATTTTGAGCAGATCGATTCACTTGACGGTTTTGACCATCGCGATTTTGTTTTTCCATCCCTTGCGATACGATTTTCTCAGTTTCCTGTCGCGAATCACTTATTCGAACATCTTTTGCTCCACCAATCTGTTGAGAATGTGAATCTTGACCTAGAGAAAGTTCCCTAGTGCGAGATTCTTGTTGAATATCATGCGAATGAACTAGTGTAGAGCTCAATTTCTCCGCCACTTCCTGCGATGCTATTTTTCCATCGCACAACTGTTCCTTGCCCCTTTCAATTGCACCTTCTAGACGATTGAGATTGTATTCTTTTTCAGCGTTGTGACGCGAAGCATCGATGTCAGCCTCTATAGTCGCTACATGGACCGCTTCTTCCCTCCGTTGCGACAAGGAAGACGATGCAGATTCCGCCACTTCGTGGATTTGCGAGTGAATTGTTGGATTTCCAGTTTCTCTCGTAGGATCTGGTGGCCTAACACACTCATTCACCGGATTTCCATCCATTACAACTCACAATTTTCCAAGAAATTAGCCAATTAACTAATTCTTGCGATGAATGCCTTGTGAAAATTTTAGAGAGAGAAATTTTTTTTGAGAGAGAAAATTTTTAGAGAGAGAAAATTTTCGTGAAGGATAGGGTTAATGTTAAAGTTACATTTAAGGATAGGGTCAAGGTTAGGGTTTAGTGTTATTTTAATTTTTATGTTGTTAGGTTAAGGATTTTTTAATAAAAATCAATGAGTTATTGTTTAATGTTTTAGTTTTGGTATTTTAGGCTTGAGGTTTCAGGGTAATGTTAGATATTTTAGGGTTAAGGTTTAGGTTTTTATTAGGTATTGGAGTTTGTGATTTAGGATTTGAGGTTTAGAATTAATGGTTTAGTGTTTAATGTTTGGGTTTTTTGTATTGAGGACTTCGGTTTTTATTTGGACCTAGGGTTTAGGGTTAGGGCTAGTGTAGTTGTTAGGGTTAGGTTTTTTTAGGTTTTACCGTTCATAGTTTAGCATTTGAGGTTTAAAATATATTGTTTAGCATTTGATGTTTGAGTTTTTGTATTTTGGGCGTAGGGTTTTGAGGTTTATGTTTTAGGGTTAGGGTTAGGATTTTGGATTCTTTTATATTTTTAGGTTTAGGATTTAGGATAGGAGGATTAACATCATTGGTTTAGTGTTTAATGTTTGGGTTATTGTAATTTGGCCTTAGGGTTTAGGTTTTACGGTAGGGTTATGATTAGGGTTAATGTTATGTTTAGGCTAAAGGTTTGGGCTGTTTTTTGGGTTTTAGGGTTTTGATTTAAGGAATTGAGTTGTAATTGTCACGACCGGAATCTAAAACCCCTGATGAGACCGGCGTCATTGAGATATTAGAGGTCGCAGACAAGCCTACATACATCATTCTTACTTCATCTAAGTTAATTTTTGAGGAAAATTTGGAACATTTTGTTTCCTAACATGCTTTCTAAACATTCTATTATATATATAATCTTTTACCATCAACCATGTAACATTAAGATCATCAAATTAAAGAAGCAATTTATTATAACGATAAAGATGTACTTGCCAAAATGGTGCCAATACATTGTTTGAATAAAAATGGGAATGAAATGCTAGTGGAACATACTCCACTAAATCAATCCTACAAAGAAGCTAGAATGTAAATGTGCAAGCATCTTCGAAAGCATGCGGTCCTACCATGTCCGAGAGAATGCTCACGTGCGGATAGCTGCAACGTTTATCCTGTAGCTCAAGTCCACCTGTGCCTTCACCTAAAAGTTTAGAGTTGTATAGGGTAAGTAAACATTTATACTAAGTATGGGTATGTGGAAGAACACACCAAGGACATGCATGAGTAGGAATAGCTCTTTCCTAGCAACATGATTATAGCATGTCAAGTCAGTGGCCTTGCCAAATTGAGATTAAGAAAGTGAGTGAACTTTGCAAATTTGGATTAGGAAAGTTTATGATCTTTTAAAATTTTAATTTGGATATTTATGCCATGAGAGGAACATGGTGATCATAGTTAACATTTTTCACATAGTACACAACAGCGTACACATAGCACATATCATAATTCATATAACACATAATGTTGTGCATATCATTCATTTGTATGCCATGTAACATTGGAATCATGAACATAACATTAAGACTTCCAAAAAATGAGGTTAAACATATGGGACCTCAACGAGGGAGTCTACTTTAGGAAACACATAGTCTTCTTCATTCATTCATACGTACTTCTTTTCATTTCATTCATGGGCCAATTTAAAAAAAGCAACACCTAGGATGTAGTTTAATACTTTCATAGTGTTCGTTGTGGAATGTCAAAGATGGACCTAATGTTATTACTACAATGTAACTCTCTTCTGGATTATCCTATACTAATACCTTTGGTATCATTCGTTTCATTACGTGTATCATTTGAGGCTGGACTCGTTTATTTATTGGGAACTTTAACTTTAACTGACATAGATCATGTGAGCATCATTAAATCTAGTGTCATGAAATCCCACACCAAAAAGAGGTGTAATAAGTGGCAAAAATGACCCAAAACATGCGAGCGTACATGGGAATTGAACTCCTCCAGATCCCTTCATTTGTAGTATATGTTAGAAGACTAGGAAATATGAGGAAAACCATACCCATCATGACAGAGAGTCTCATCTCATGAGAGTTACATGAACCTCTACCCTTCCCTAAAGAAGGCATCATCGCTCATAGTTAGTCT